CATCTTATGGGGCGTTCAGACCACCACTGGAACGCAGTTTCCACGCACAGTAGACGCACATTCTCTAAATTACAGAGGCTAGGGGTGCCAGACCAGAAGTCCTGGTTCAACAAAGTTAAACTAGCGGAGTTAGGCTAGCGGTGTAATGCTAGCGGCTTTTTGTGTAAAGTTCTTCTCCAAAAGGCAGCTCTGCTGCGTCTCTGTGTTCAGAGATGCTGCAGAGACGTTATATAACAGCAGTATGTGTTCACGGAGGTGCATCATCAGTTTGTTTTATTATTAGACGGTACTTCCGCATTGGCGAACATGCTAGCGGCACTACATGCTAGCGGCACTACATGCTCGCTGCACTAGTTTAGTCACTGGAGATTGACAACTCGGGCTGTGGGAATGTTCACAAGCACACACAAAGAGACAGACAATATTCTTAAGGCAAAAGGAAAGTGTCCGAGTCTATGTTGTTATTTGTTATTTGTGAATGAAGATGATTTTTTAAGTCAGCTAGGCCTATGTTCAACATAACTGTTGAATTCAAAATATTTATTTTCCCTATTTTTTGCTCTGTCTTTAGCTTAAAGCCCTCAAGATTACATTGGTTTTTTATTTTATTGAATGCTAAACATCAAGTGTTATTTTCATCTGAAAGAAGAATAATAAGATGATTTTTTTTCAGTAAGCTAGATGTGTTTTCAAGGCTTCAAGATTTTATGCTACCTCTGACTAAGAATGTCTTATTTTTGAATTTTAAGAGCAATACATATATTTTGTTAAGCAAATCATGTTTTTTCATTTCAGATATGTAAATCAACATGTATACATTGATATTAGTCAATTAATGGGGAACAGTGATGGGAATAACGGCGTTACTAACGGCGTACGCCGTTACGGCGTTACTAACGCCGTTACTTTTTTCAGTAACGAGTAATCTAACTAATTACTTTGACTGTAACTATAACGCCGTTATCATTTCCGACATCCCGTTACTGCGCGTTACTCAAGACGCACAATGAACGTGTTGTCATGAGAGAAGGGAGGATGAGAAAACCTCTCAACAATTATTGGCTGATGTAAAACATATTTCCTTTACAATCCACATGTCGACAGTTGAAAGGATGGCTCATAAATTGTGTTTTTGAAACAAATATTGGTCTTAATCGCGCTCATCCACAGCTTGTATCACCGTGAGTCAGCCACAGAGGAGCGCATGTGAGCGCAGAAGTCGGCTGCATACAATTCCATCGATAAGCTCCTTTCTCTTCCTGGTTTATCTGCTAAGGACAGCAACAGGTTTGGCTAACATACATATAACACATTTTTACATAATGTAAAATGCACATAGGGTAATTTTTAAATTACTATAGGAATGATAAGAAAGAGAGGTGAAGTGTAAGACGGTTGATTTTAGAAATCGGATGCAGCCGGCTGCCGCAAAACACAGGAGTTTATGGAGGACACACGCGTTTTGTTTTACTTTGTTTAGTGCTTACAGCACAGAGAGAGATGAAGAGTGAACAGGACTTCAGCAGCAAAACAGACTTTTCTAGATGGAAATATTGGCACTATTAAAGGTAAAAATGCGCACGTCGGGTGCACATTATGTTCCAGAACAAAACGAAAAAGTAACGCAATAGTTACTTTTACTGGTAACTAGTTACTTTTATAGTGGAGTAACTCCGTTAGTAACTCAGTTACTTTTTGGGAGAAGTAACTAGTAACTATAACTAATTACTTTTTCAAAGTAACGTGCCCAACACTGATGGGGAGATAATTGATAATCGAATCGAACTGAAAAAAAATTATTTGTTAGATTTAAAAATAATTGCTAGATGAATTGTTTAAAAAATAATCGTTTATCCCAGCCCTAGTAGTGAACCTAAACCTGTTTGAACACCAAACACCTCACAAAGAAAGTATTGTCCAAAAATGAATAGGCATTATACATAAGTTTTAAGTTTTCTCATTTCCAGTGACATTTGCCGCAGAAAGAAATTCTACAATTAGATCCAATCTCCACACACCAGCTATACCCTTATATATTGATAAATGATCCTACTTAAATAAGTGAGTGAATTCTACTTAGAATTAGAGTAAGTTATGCATCATCAACAAGTACAGACCTTCTGCTTCAAAAGGAATTGTACTGCAAAGGATTCTCAGACAGATTTTAAACTGTTTGGATGTGTTTCAACAATTTCATAAGTTTTTGCCCGTATCCTATAGCCATATCCATGGAAAATATTTGATTCTTAGTTACAACATCTGTGAAGTGTATCTTTGTCAAGATACACTTATTTGACGTTGGCAATAACTATGCCAAACAAGTCAGTGCAGAAAGTGAAGTATTGTCAAATTCTATCAACATTCAATGCTTTGTGAAAGACGGGACATAAACTGGCTCACTAAATGGAAAATTCCAAATATTATGGGTTGCAGTTAAAGCTGTATGTGTGCTGCCGTGTCTGTAGACTGCGCAATGGCCTCTTCTGTACATGGGTGACAGTTCTTTGCCCAACCGTACGTCTTGTAAATTAGCTGCTCCCTCGCATAATTCATGGATCTTTGCTTCTGGCATTAACTGTGCTTTGCAATGTCCATGTCCCAAAATCACATCCGCTTTTAACCTGGAATAAGACCCCAATACGATTATGCTTTCCGCTTTTCCTTGCAAATTCTGAGTGCAAGGGCAGCAGTGCTTAAATGATTAAAAGTCTAGTTGGTTTATTAAATGCGAGAGACTCTTTTTGAGGATTTTCTGTGCAGGCGTGTTATAGTGGCAAAGATGAAAGTGCTGAGGTCTTGCAGGTGGAAGTTGTTATGGAGATTCAAGTGTAATTCAAGAAGTGTAGATGCAAATGAGTTCACAGGCTTAGTTTTGATCCAATTGTATTATCATCTTTGACAATCTAAAAGTCTCATACATGGAACGATATATAAGTGTAATAACGCACTAATCCAGATTAAGTCAATTCTGCTACGAATATAATTTGCAGTAGGGCTGGGCGATATGGCTGAAAACGATATCGCAATATAAGTAATTCATATTGGTCGATAATGATATATATTGATTGTGTTTTTGTTGTTGTTTTTTTATTAAAGGAAACTAAAGCTGATTTGCATGTGTACAAATCTCTCAGTGGCCTTGTACCAAAGTACATCTGTGACATGTTGTTACCATTTGAACCAACCCGGACTCTGAGGAGCACAGGGACTGGCCTCCTGCTGAGAGTCAGGACTAAACATTGGGAGGCAAATTTCAGATTTAGGCAGCTAAAATCTGGAACAGTCTTCCTGAAAAGGGAGATTGTTCAAATCCAGGTTGAAATTATGTATTTGAATGCCTTTTGTGATTGTTTCTATCTGATAATTGCATGTGAAAGCCTGATTCTAACATAACCACTTTACCTGACTCAGGAGGTGGTGGTCGATGGCATAAACTGGTTGCCTTGCTTCTGTTCATCTGTCCTTGAACAGTTGTGGCTACAGTAGTAGTTTATCAATTGATGAATAATGCCAATTTTATTATTAATAATGAGAAGGTAAATATTAAAATCACAACATAATTACAAAGTATATAGGCTAAACCTTTCCAGCAAATGTTGCAGGATCAGTGGCAAAATCCAACTGCGTTTCCCCCAGTTGTAATCCTCTTTCGTTGAACAATACCCTGAACACTGGGAATTATTATATTTCTTTCATCACTACCCAAGGTTTCCAAGGAAGCGGATTGCACATGGCGTTTTTCATGATCCGTTATGGAATTCCAGCCTTAAACCGCCCATATTTTGTTTCACCTAAAGGTTTATTGTAGCCAGACCTTTTTACCTGATTCTTGGGGTACATTTTCTTTTGAAAAGTTCACTACAATTCAAGCAATAGCACTGCCATTCCATCTCTCCACCTGCCTCATACCGGCAGATTTAAAAGCCTGTATTTTAAGCTGTAAAGGCACAATCGCGAATGTGTGACCGCTCCATTGTGGATCAGGGAGGGGTCACCTTCACAAAGTAGCCCCTGCTATTATCCCCCCATTGCTATTAAGTGACCCATGACACATGTGTCATTTCCACACCACAGGCTTATCACACAAAAAATACACTATTTTCCCCCTCTGTTATGCAGTGCCATGCTGACTGCCTGCTGCCAAACCATTAGCTGTCATTTGGATTCTGTGTGTGTGCACTTTTTTGGATATGATTTAGCATTTACAGTTGTGTTGATAAGATGTACAGATATTTTTTCTTGTATTTTAATCATGAAGAATCATGTTGATGACAATTTTGTCCTATACATTTGTCCTCTAAATATGGGGAGTTTCACACCTCATAGCCTTTTGCAATGTGTTGATCCGTGCCTATGGCTGGGATTACCCAATGAATTACCCATTACCAAAAGTACTAACCCATAACATGCTAATCATGGTAATGGCAGATTATGGTAAAAGTTCCATTCTTAACTCCAATATGTACTTTGTGTTGAAGAGCTTGCTCCCCTGCCCAAAATATCCCCACTGTAGGTATAACAAAGGTTCTCTTATCAAAACATATCAGACTCACCATTTGGGCATTGCCATCTGTTTCTGGTGTAGGTTTTTGTAAATGTATTAGTAAACCACCTGCTTTGGCCAAAGTCAACCCCAGTTTGGGTCCGTACATCCTACAGCTTCAATGACTTGTCACTTGCAAATGGAAATACTGAACTTGGTTGTAAATTAGCTGCTGAACGTCCTGGCAGCTTTAGGCTTAATTTGGCTGGTGATACTGTAAATGCTATTGGTTTCTATTTGCCAAAAGAATGATTATATTGTTAACAAACTCAATGACCAAAATTAGGCTAGTTTAAATATTATCGTTTACTTTCTAAAGTAATATATTGTTCATCAAACATTGTTATTTTGAATGACTTTGGTGTCGTCTCACTTAGTCTATAGAAACAGCTTAGACGCATTCATTTAATATATTTGGGTAGTGGTTGAGCCGTCTGATGAAACACTACGCATCTGAATGTTTGCTCCTCTCTGTTTTTGTCTGATAGCTGGATGCACGTTTGACGAGGACTCCGACCCAGGCCTGTGTGAGTACAGACAGGGCCAGGAGGACGACTTCGACTGGCAGCTCATTCGCACGTACAACTGGCCACACCCGACCCCTGACTTGCTGCGAGGTAAGCTACACACACTTTGCGTTTATTTTGTATATTTATACGCTCAAGAAACACGCTGTAAAAAAGCACACACCACTAAAACCATTGAATAACTTGATAGGCGTCCATAAATGTTTATTGTTTTCTGTTTGTTATTCATTTTGGGTTCAATTGTTGTTGAGTGTTTCCATTATTATTTCAGTCGAGGCACAACTTGGTTTTACATCAATCTGGATTAGTAAAATAATTGTGACAGGAATTTTCCTACTCAGCTCTGGTTATTTGTATTTAGCACTAATGATTGTTCTGTTTTTATTTGACATCTAAGTACGGTTTGTTGCGGAAAACCAATTGGGTAAATTATTCAATTAAATCTATACAGCGAATTGGAAAGTGATAAACAGTGAAAAGCCAGAACGCTTTAGCTATGCAGAGCAGTGCCTGGATTGGAATGTGATGGGAGACCTCTGGGAACAGCAGGTTGGGAAGTAGTTGCTTCCCACCACCGTGTAAGTACGTGAGGCGCCTTTGAGTTTCAAGAAAGTGCTATATAAAACCCATTCATTCATCCATTCCCCTTTGTCCTTTTCTCGGTCAGGGGGGTGGCAATCAGCTGCCACCCAATTCACATAGCACCAGCCCCTCACTGATCCTCCTGCAAGTGGTAAGTCCACAGGAGGATGGCAGTGACGACACAGCCTTGATCTTTCAGCGGGGGCTTCAGGCAAAGGGGGTTTTAGTGTCTTGCCCAAGGACATAATAACAGCCGACCAACTAAGCCACAGTCGCCTGCTAGTGCTATATAAAACTCATGCATTATTATTATTATTTCATGTTTGCAAACAAAATAATGTATGAAGACATTTTTCTACTGTAATACTTGCCGCCCCGGAGTCAAACCCAGGACCTTCCAGCATAATCACAAAACACAATAGCGGCCTAAAGTGCTTCACATGCTCAACACATGGTAAAAACACTGTATCAAAAACAGTATAAGAATATATATATTGTATGTATTATGATTATGGTGTGTATGTGCATGGGTATTCATATAAATATATAACATTTTATCATACAAAATTAAAAAGCAGCTGTGCTAATGCTATAAGCCAAAACAACCTGATGATGAAAACGGCTTGAAAAAACTAATTAGAACAGGCCTAAAAAAATCTTACTTTAATAAGATAACATAAGCAATGTACTGTACCTTTATTTCGCCAGCGCCTGGTGTACAAAAGACAATATATATTGATGTTACATGGGGAAAAGTTGTCCGACATCTGTTCAGTCCGATATTAGACCTCTCCTGGGTTTTCCACCTCTTTTGTTTTTTGCTGATTCATATGGTTCTCCAGCTGGCTTTATTATTCTCAACAAATTATGTACAAATATGTTTTACAAGAAACGCAACGTGCCTCCGAAACCCAGTTAAGATTTTCTATCCAATTACTTTTGTTTTGAAGCAAATTTGGACGTCGACTTTCATGCGGTGTGCTTCATTATGTAAGCTGCCAATACACATAAACAACCCATTGGGCGAATAACGAGTAGTTATGAAAGCAAACAAAATTAAACTTGCAACAAAAAAAAATTTAATTATAGATACGCATTTATTTTGTAGTCTGGTAACTATTTTTCTAATTGAATAGAGCAAAATATTGGCCAAAGTTGTTGAATGGGTCTGTGAAAGTAATAGAAAGCGGAAGTTAAAAGAAGCGAAAACTGACTTACAGTAATGGCTTCCACACCCTCATCACTTTTATCCCTATAGGCTCTATGCACATTATGTCACGCTGGTTACACATTTAAAAAATTCATAATCGCATTGAGGATTACATACCACTGCATGTTCAGTACGGTCCAGCTTCTTTTGGTTAATCTTTAAGTGGATAACTATTAGCATATAGAGCCGTGCAGTTCAAAAGGGCCAAGTTAAAAAGGGCTGACGAGAAGGACTTAAGACTTATGCTAATTCGGGTGGTGCGACATATCCCCAGCAGACTACTGTAAAAGCAACGCAGCATGATGCATATGAGCACATACCGTTTCACATCATCTCGCCTGTAATCGACCCGTTTGAATAGATGAAAAAGAGATTCAAAAAACTAAAGCTGCACGGTACCAGCACGGCCCCCTGAGGAACCCCGGGTCGTGTAATCAGCAGTGACCCGGACCAGACTTCAGCAGTCCTGAGGAGTGGGTTAGCTCATGCGGCCTCCAACCTCCAGGGATGTGCAAGAGGATGCGTCTGAAACGGCAAAACTAGCACAAGAAATCCTGTCCATTAATTATGAGTCCCACTTCGGACGGTTTTATCAAGAGATTAGACAAGCACGTTGTAGCTGCAAAGGCAACTCTATTTTATTTGAGTTAATATTTACAATAAGTCCACGTAAAAGTTACAAATATAATACATAGTTAAAAGTGCAATTTAAAGTTAATTCATATTTTTTATTAATTTTGGAACTTTGGACACACACCCTTTTTTGTATTCATTTTCCTCACAAGCCACGAGGTGCTTCGCTCGGTCCACGCATGGAAGATGCAGTAAAAGTTGGGTAACAGAAAAGCAACCCTTTAGAAGTCTTTTTGTGGTTTATTCCGTGTTTGAGTAAAGCGGCCAATGAGGTATGTCTTGGTCTCCTTTGCTGTGTGTTACGTGTAAGTGCCGTCATTACATTTTTTATGTTCTGACGGCATTTTCCTCAATGTTGGCCTTTCTCCTCTGGACGAATAAATGTCTTTTCAAAAACTCTGAGGGAGTAACACGTGTTGTCTCCACCAACATATGTTATGCCACTTTTCTAAGCTCTGAATCTGTAGGATTGCTACCCACACTTCTATTATTGATGAAGGGAAAAGGCCTTGATAATATTGCTCACTCAAAGCACCCATTTAGATCATAAACACAGTTCGAAATTTCGTCCAGTCAACTTAAGCTCTGCAGATGAATGGTTTTTGGCCGAGCAGAATCCCAGTACCTGAACTCTCAACAATTGTAAAGTGCTATGGGTGACCTTGGTCTGTAAAAAGTGCTATATATATAATGATTACTTACTTACTTACTTACTTACTTGGCTCCTACATTTTTTTTTCAATTGTAGGTGCTAATACAAGACATGCCAATGGGAAATATGTGTTTGTCGCCCCCCACTAACCCCCTCCCACTAACCCCCTCCCACTCAGCCTGTTCTCATGTGCTAATTGTTTACGGAGCTACCGTCTCACAATAAGGATCGCACATTTGAACGTGGATGGCGTGACCAAAGAATGATAGAAGCAGGAAGCGCGGAGGAAAGAGACATTCTTTAGGATGGCTGTTTCGCTGTGTAAGCAGTAACCGGTAACGAAGACGCGGGAAGTTTCAGGTTAGCCTCCCCACTTGTTTACCTCCGCTGTCTGTGCTAACCAAAAGACCTGTGGCTTTTCTCAAGAAAGGGGGGGCCAGTGGTCCGCTGTGATTGGTCACAATCTGGTCCTGTGACAAATTCTCTTCCTAGTTTCACAAAAACTCGATCTAAAATAAAATGACTCGGCAGCACAAATCTGTGCTACTTATTCTTCAAAAGGACATAAATCCCAATGCACTGCATGATATGGATTGAATTTTTGTAATGAATACAAAAATAAAGTGAGGTAATGCCGCTTTAATCTAAATACCTTTTTTGTCATTGCTATGTAGAGCGTGCTAACCAAGCCAGCCCATGTTTTTAAACATGTATGTACAGATGTGGAGATTGGATTGGACCTATTGCACAGACTTATGACGCCTTTAAACAGAAATGCAGCGGGGGGGCCTTTTACAGCGGAGAGCTTTATGATTGGAACAGCCGTCCAGTGCGGTGGACGGCGGCATTTGGCATAAATCAAACCGGTCCACTACACACGAGCCAATTTCAACATCTATTAACATTCAGCGAGGGCGGAATAAAGCGCCTTGTACATGGCTCAGGGCGGACGACGGTAATTCACCAAAGACTTGTTTGACTCGGGGTCAGCGGTGTGCATGTAAAATCACTGTTCATCTGTTCGCTTTTATTTGTCAAAGGGATGTTGTTATTTGGGAATCGCATCGGACTGAATAGCTAGAGGTAGAGTGTAGCCCGAAAAGGCATGCAAATATTGTTACTTAAGTTAACAGACGGTAAAACAGACAGAAGTAACAAAAATACCCAATACTGTAGCACTTACCTAAACCGTTTCACTTTGAGGTGATCTTCACTGTTCCTCCTGGGCTTGCTGCAAAAAAACCACGATAAACACATATTCACTAAAATCTCTGTGGTTGGAGTTCAAAATTACGGAAAATTAGGTGCTCATCCAGGACAAATTACCATTCAAGTGTCAAAATATTGTAGTGATTCCAAGCTGAGGAAAATACAAAAATCAAAGTCCTTTGTTTTCAGTGTCTTTGTATTGGGCCATGAATCATTCTATCTTTTATTGAAGCTAACAATAAGCACAATGTCATTCCAACTAAGTACCAATTATTTACTTGCCGGTACCGATACGAGTACATCGTTTTGTTATCCCTGGGAATTCATAAAACTAATACTACTGACATTTTAAATGTTTTTTTTTTCATTTCAACAATGACAAAATGCTTTAACAATTGACATTTTTTTGAGCCACTGTCATATTCCTCTCATACACATGGTACAAAGAAATAGCTGCTATTTCAATGCACTGAGAGATTTACAGATACATACAGTAGATAACTTTATTACAGACTCAAGGTCCAGATCAACGCAGACACAGACAATAAAAACCTCTACGCTTTCAAAAGGCAGTCTTACCAATGTTTCCACAGCAGCGAGGTGTAACGTTAGAGCTCTTATGTCACACATAAAACACAAACTGAAACCATTATTTAAAACGACCCGGTTGACTGAGCTTAAATGCCTTTGTATAATGTGAATGTAAGAATGTAAAATGTGTTCTTAATTCTGTGAAAAGCCCTTTTTGGGACGGACATTGCAAATTAGCCTCGGCTAAAAAAATGCGTATGTGTCATCTGTTGA